TGGGATTAGGTAGCCACGGCAGCAAGTGGGGGTGGCAGGGAGGGGTGCTGCCACCAGAAACACCCCTTCCCACTCCCTCCCTCCGTCCCTCCCTTCCTCCCTCCCCTCTTCCCTGTTGCCTCTCTCTCCCTGCCTGCTGTTGTCAGGTGGGAAGAGAAGCCAGCGCAGCGGTTCCCTCACCTCTGTCTGTAACACTCCAGGCCCTCGCAGCCAATCAGCGCGCGCCCTCCTGGCAGCGCATGTGCAGTTGACCCGGAGTGGTACAGACAAACAGACTGACTAAGGCTTTTCTTATATTAGAATTTCCAAGTTCTATAGTTAATTTCTGCTCTATGTGGGTTAAATAGTTTGAAGCCAAACTGTTCCATAGATTGTGTGGCTGGCTGGCTACCTACCTACCTATCTACCTATCTTAATGTGTGTGTAATTTTTAGCAAGTATAGTTCCAGTAAGGATACTTCAGGATTTTCCAAAGAACAGACCAACGATTTACCTCCCCTGCTATACTGACTTTTAATAGAAAATCAGTAACTCAGTAATGTCTATGGTATTTTGGAACACAATATTAAAATTCAGAAAATTAGAAAAAGTTATATACCATATTTACTTGAATCAGAGATGAGGTTCTCTCCCTTATCAGCATGGGGGGAGAAGTCCCTTGTCTTAGATTCACGTACAAAGCAGAGGCAACCATAGCAGCTTCCTGCCCACCCCTTTGCTTGCCCTTTACAGCTTCCACCTCCTCCCCCCACCCCACCCCTCCCATCTTAGTGTCAGGTGCAGTTAGGCTCCAGCTTGGGCCGGATTTCCTCCTAGGTGCAGAACATGGGGAAACTCCATCTCCTACCTGGCAGGTTCCGACAGTGAGGGATGGGGAGGAAGAGAGGCAGAGACTGTTGGGACTGTTGAGTGGGAGGCAGAGATCGTGTGCAGTAGCGGGATGCAGAAGTGTGGGGAGCCAGGGCGGGGGGGAGAGGCAGAGATTGTGGGGAGCAAGGGGAAGGGTAGAGATTTTGGAGAGTGAGAAAGAAGGGGCAGGGGCTGTGGGGAGCTGGGGATGGAGGGGTACAGGTGGCAGGGGGACAGGAAGGCTCCAGGGGGACAAGTGGGGGAAGGCTGAGGTCAAGGGAGCCACCAGACCACCATCCCCACACCCAGCCACTGTTTTCTGTAGCTGTGGGAGGTGTACACATTTAAGACAGCCCTTCAATAATTAGATTACATACCTGGAAAATTATAATGAATTTATACGTTTTCCCTATATAGAATCTAATTATTGGGGGGGCGTCTTAAATAAGAGGTTGATTTTAGATTTGAATAAAATGGTAAGGTACAGAAATTAAGATTATAACCAAATATTGCTTAGTATACTGTTGAAGATGATAGTGATAAGTCAAGAATCAGTATTGATGTAACATCTTTGCTAGAAATTTGCTCTCTGCCAATTTTCCAGGCCTCAAAGAAACCCATTTGTATAGTAAAAGACCTGATTCCTTCATATGGAAGTGGCCAAGTACGTGTTTATTCATTCCTTATTCTTGGATAAAAGTCTTGTCTTCAAGCAAATGGTACAGGGGAATGATGTAGCATTCTTTGGTCCCCACTCACTTCAGAAAACCTCACTTGCTAGTGTGTTGAGCTGCATTCAGTGCTTTTCTGTTAAAATATATATTCTCCTCTGTGAAAGGGAGTCTTCTCAGGAACCTTTGCACTTCCAGTGATCACTTCAGTTCTTTCTCTCTTCCAATAGAGTTGTTGCTGCAACTTCATTTCCTGAGGCAAATTAATTTGGCAGTTTGGTTCAAAACAAGAAGCTTCTATTCTGAAAAGAGTTTCCTGTGTTTAACATGGCGTGCTTCTCCTACGGTGATGTTTAACTATGGCTTCTTTTGCTATACAGATTAATACACACACTCACCAAGTTGTGTTCAGTAAGGTTAGGCCCATCTTAAAATTGGAATTGCTGAGGCATTTTCCCTTTGTTATTGCAACATTTGTGTTAATGGCTCTTCTTAAGCCTTTGCTGTAGGAACTGCTAGGGACAATCACAAGACCTTCTAAGTGAATTTTAATTGAATTTGATACATTAAAAAGGCTTTCTTTGTTCTTTTTTCACAACTGCTAATTCTAGTCACCCTGGGAGCCCTCCCTTAAGTGAAGCTGCGTCCTTATGTTTTGCGTATTGCCATGTGCAAGAGGAGCAGTTGAGGTGTCCAGTTATATTCTAGCAAATTTTCCTAGATCCCAGGATCTGTTGCTGGATTTCAGCGTTGACTAAAAAGCATTTTTAAATTGATTTTGTTTGGTAAACCGCTATCTTTTTTTACAGGCATAAGCAATGTTGATATGGCTTTGTTTCTAAAATAACTTGTAGACTTTTGAAGTGCTTTTGTTTACTTAAGCTAGAGTAAAGTACAAAAATACGTAACTCTTAATAGCTTTGAAGAAAGGCATGTCAAAGGATATTTTTATTGGCTATTATCTAGTAAGCATAGTTTCATGTGGGGTATTTATTTTGCTATGGCAACCAGAGTGATTTTTCCAGGATTTGGTTCCTGTTTGTATTAGTGGATCTTACAGCATGACATACTTCTAATGATGTTTTCATTTTTTCTGGATGCTACTTTTATGTCATTAATTTAACTTTTATCAGTATCATTTTTGTTTTATTTTGAAGCTCTGTTTGGCCATTTCTGTGGGGAGAGTTGTTTAGGGGAGACTCTTTAAAAGAAGATTGTGCAGAATGCTGTGTGTGAAAGAAAAATCTTGAAATTCCTAACAGTAGTATTCCCAAAGTTGATACAGTATACTATATCAAGACCTTGATCCTTTCTGCAAAATCTTATCTTCAGCTAATGTTGACCATCTCTTTTCAAGTGTTACCTACAAGCACTAGAAATATGAAGTGAAGATGTGTGGCTTACAGTTGCTTAAATAATGCAGACTTGCCTTGATGTAAAGGGAGCTCATGAACTTTAAAAAAAAAAATTCCTTGATATGCTTGTATTGGAAAGCAGACTTTTCTAATTGATTAAATGGGGAAAAACCCACCCTAAAGTGTTGTACATGGCATAATTTGCTTTTTAAAGAGAATAACATCTCAGTGGATGAACAAATAGACAAACCTTTTTTGTGCATCCTTAACAACATGAGATATAAAAGGTGGAAGTCCTGGTTCAAATGCAGTGGTTCCTAACAAATGTAATGCACAGTATCCTGGTGGCTGAAGTCACAGTTGAATTCCAAGTAGGCTGATCACTGTTGTGTTTTTTAATTTTGCAGTTGATGTGACTGCAACACTGCCCTTGCAAGTTGCACCAACTTCAGTTCCTATGGACCTCCGTTTGGACCATCAGTTTTCCATGCCTGTGACAGAGCCAACGCTCCGTGAACAGCAGCTCCAGCAAGAGCTCCTGGCTCTCAAACAAAAACAACAAATCCAGAGACAAATCCTCATTGCTGAGTTCCAGAGGCAGCATGAACAGCTCTCTCGGCAGCATGAGGCCCAGCTACACGAGCACATAAAAGTAAGTGATTGAAATACTGCTGTGAATGGTGTGTAAAAATACTGCCTAATTAGGAAAGGATGCTCTGAAAGTAGACAGATTGGTTTTAAAGGGACAATAGAAATTGCTTTGTAGAAAACTGTATCCATGCAGAAACCTGAGCACTAAGATTTTTTTTTAAATGGGATACCATATTTTCTTGCATGCAACATGCACTTTCTCCAAAAAATCCACCTCCTAAAACTGTGGGGTGTATATTAAGCAAGGAAGCTGATTTTCTGCTTCAGATAGAGGTTGTCTGCTTTGACTCTTGCTCCATATTGCAGCAGCATACAGGTTTCCGTTGCCAGCCGCTGGGGTTAGAGTTCCCATGGCTGGCAAGACAAAAGACTTATGGGGAAAATGGTAGGTGGCGGGCTGATGCGCGGCCATGAGAAGCTGTGGTTACTCAAAACTGTATACTGTGGTAGCCAGTGGTATAGCCAATGGTATTCTATGGTATATAGAATATTAAGCAAAACCATGGTTGGCAAAACTATGGTTGGCGAGGGAAATCTGTACTGTTGAGCCAGCTGAGGAAACCAGTTGACTTAATGACCTATTGAATTTTCACTCTACATATGTTAATGATCGCTTCTCTTTTGTAATGGTCTTGATGTTCTACCAGTCAAGCTAACCTTTCTTAGTGCAATTTTGCTATCTGCTGGTTGCTCTTATTGACCTATGCAGGAAAAGGAAGGTGAATCAGCTGAAGGTTCTAAAGGCTCGGTCCCTGCACTGTGTAGCCATAACTCTGGAAAAATCCTTTCTTCTTCATTCTGTCTTTCACAAACAAGATGTGTATTATATTTCAGTGTGTTGTATGTTAGAAAATGCAGCATTTAATTTAGGCTTATACTTCTTAAAGCCTTAGCCAGTTAAATAAACGGACTGATCTCCAAGAGGGCTGATTACTCTAATTAGCCCACTTATTTAGAGGCCTGAATATAGATTTACTGGCCTGTATTTAATAGTTCATTTTTTTGAAAGATCTTTTGCCTCTTACTGATGACCTAACCATTGAGAAGAGAGCTTTCAGGATGTCTTGGTTCCCATTCTATCAAATACTGGCGCACACTCATGTTCAAAGAGCAGGTGATCTTTAGCTTATTCTTAGGTAGGAGAAAATACTCTGAATTTTATTAATCTCACCTGTGCTATTAATCTCCCATTGCGCTATATGTAGCCAATGTGTTTGGCTCTGTGAATGAAATATTAAATCAATAATTGGCTGGAATTGTAAACATTAGAAACATCTGAAGTTAAATGTGGGGCTGTCCATTTGAGCTTATTCCCTAATAAATTTGTTGCAGCAGGGATTGTTTGTATTCTTATATTTGAACAGAGCCTAGCATAGAAGGACCCAGGCCTTAAAACAGTTTCTGGGTACTACTGTAATATAAACATAAAGAATAACTTATTTTTAGAAGTGGTTACTTACAAGCTTCAGGTTGGGTTACTTAAATCTTAATGACATTACAAATATACTGTACATGAGAGTAAAGGGTAAACCACTTGTGAATGTGCCAATTTGTCTATAACTAGAGGCCTGGGGATGGAATATCAGTTAGAATTTCTGGGGGTGCTTGCTGCAGCTTAAGTAGGAGTTCCGACTTTTTAACCTTATCGTGCAGTTTAAATGTTTTTAAAATATTAACTGTAGTTATGTCTTGTAATTTTAAATGATACGTTCACTCGGATACCACTCAAACATTCCTATGTGTGAGCTTTAAGAGTGACTACAGGATAGTTCTACCTATATACCAATATAAATCTGTAGTACAGTTCTGAGATTCCTTGGATCAGATTTCTCGTGTTTCTTTCAAACTCCACAAAAGAAGAGGAAAGAAAATGGTGCCAAAACTCATGACCAGAATTCATAGCTGCTTAAGGCTTATATTCTGTATTGATTGTAGTGAGAATTTAACCTGAGTTAGCAGTGTTGAATAGGTGGCTGCTTATTAATGTTATACTCCATTCTAGTACAGAAATATGTACGAGTTACTTCATGCACACACAAATGTTACACAAGCTGTTAGCCAGACCTTTGATGTTTTGTGTTCTTGTGGAGGGAATTTCAAGAGCACATGTAGCATTTGGGGAACAGGGATTGTGCATGTACATGACTTCCCAAATTATTAGGTACGAGCTAACCCTGGCCCAGTTGTTTAAATCTGCTCTTTGAAACAAAATGAAAGGTAATGTAATGAATGGAATAAGTAGGAGGTACAGTTTGGAAGACGGCTGTTACACAGTGAAAATGTTAGCCACCATATAAATATTCCAGCGTGACAGACTATTGCTATGGTAACATCAGTTTTTTCAAAATTGCTAATATGCCCTCTCAAAGGGGGATTAGTATTGCACATGGTACATAGTCTTGATGTAATACTAAAAGTGATTGCACACTTGTTCTTGCATAACTTTCAGTTTAATATAAAATATAACCCAATGTTTTGAAGCAGTGTGAAATATGCTGTGTTATATTTACACATTCTTAAATAGTCGAAAAGATCTGTTTTAAGTAAGTTTATTGTGGAGAGTCCTTTCCTTTTTCATGTCCTTATGACAAAGTATTTAACAGATTTTGCAGATTCATTGGAATCTGACAGGATGTCATGAGCACTTCTGCTGTGGACTTGAACTTGCCACCTCTGGGCTGTTGACTGTGCACCTTAGTGTCTACACCACCCCAGCCTCACTATGGACTGAAGTTGTTAGCATGAATAATGAAGATTTAGTGGCAGCCATTATGCACAGCAGCACTATGCATGTGTTCCTGTGTGTTTTTGTAAGTTCTTTGGGACAAGGACTCTAATTTTTTTCTCTTCATTCAGAATCTAGCTCAGTGGGGCCTAACTGGAGCATGGTCTGCATGCGTTCTCTTAATACAGCTGTTTAATAATAATTTTGCTTAGACATCTCAGACTGAAATTGATTCTAGGTGTGTCTAAGTGTGATGACTTGTTTATGCAGACCTGTTTCATAAGATATCATGGTTTTGTGATGAAGACATTCCCCCTGGATCAGTGTCAAACACATTTGTAATCTTTAAAAAGGAAAAAAATCCTCCAAAATTAATGCACAAGCTGAAAGTATCTAGGATAGGAACATAATTACACTGATTTGTTTAAAATGTATGACTGACTTCAATAACAATCTACATTATAAAGGAAAAATTTGAGCCCAATTTGGAAAGCTTGTTCATTTAAACTGTATGTATCTAAACATCCTGCCTGGAAGTTCTGCTGCCAGAATTTTGTTGCTAGAATTTCTGAAGATGAAGTATTTTAAAATGTGACAGTGAACAATCCTATGTAAGACTGATTAGCCACATGATCAAGTAATCAGCCTTTGGTAATCTGACTACTCCTTAAAAACAAAATTTTATCCTGTTTGTAATATGACTATATAGTTTGATATTTTGCAAGCAAAGGCTCAGTCTAAACCATTTTATAAAAACTAAAATATGTTAATGCATATAATCATTAGTTTGACAGATTATTACAGTAATGTTCATAATTCAACCTACACCTTAAAAAATACTTGTAGCTAAGAAAGTGACTGGATAAATTAACCCAGGGAAACTGGCAACTCTGTTAGTTGCAGCTTATTATAGTTACATGACAGTTTTCATTTAAACTGTCCGAATGAACCTGGAACATAAATTATCCAGAGGTGACTTAATTTTGAATGGCTTCTCTCCTGTACTATGTAAAAAAAAAAAAAAAAAAAAAAAGTGGGGAGAACACTCATGCCATTATTATATTTTTAGAAATAACCTTACAACCTGTATAGTTGAAACATTTAAGAATGGAAAGATCACATCTGGTAAAGCAGTAGACCTGCTCATGGAATGAGCATCTTCCTCTTCAGGGAAATTTTAGTTTTGATTGAACCCCAGATTGGCATGTTCAGTACCCACCCTCCCCTCTCCCCTGCATACACAGACACACACTGTCACATACTTGTAGTATATAAGGAAAAGTTCATTGTGAATATGTACGTAGTGGAGCAGAGGAGTGTTTAAGCAATGTTGTGTTATGATAACTATTACAGTCCATTCTTCCCCAGCTGCCCTCTTTGCCAAAACATGAGCTTTACTAAATTCTGTCTTTCCAAGATTTTTCAAAAAGTATTCCACAGTTAACCTCAGGTCTGTTGTATGTAAAGCCCTGATAGGTACATGTTAGTTTCCCTGGCCAGCTTTCATGGAGAACATACTGTGCATTTCTTTGAAAACCAACATTTAATGCATGATGAAAAGGCGGGTAAGACCGTATAAACCTTCAACTTAGCTCTGCCTCTGTTCTCTCTTATAGAAAAAGAAACCCAGACTAAAACTGATTACTCATAACTGATTACTCATGGTTCAATGAGCTATACAGTATCTAGAAGAGACAACTATTCTCCTCCCATTTCCCTTAAGGTCCATAAACAGACCCTCAGGGAAATAAATGATATTCTAATGGAAGATTTCCCTATAAAATAAAGCTAGAAAGTTGCAGATATTGGGACCCAGCCCTAACAGAAGACTTGTGTGCTTTTTACACCTGTATGTATCCTCATTCTCTCCCTCTGATTATGTGCATTGAGTATGAGGTGCTGGACACCTTGTCCACAATGAGAACTTCTTATAAAACTTCCTAAAGTATCCCTGGAGTCTAACTGGTAACTGCCTTACTCCATTTTATTCTCCTCCTACCTTTTGAGTCAAATGCTGCAATATAAAGAATATGAGCTCTACGGCTAACAACATACTTGGCTACAACGTACACGTGGTAAAACAGCTAAGCATGGGTTTACTGGGCAAGTAAGTTACTGCACTACCATAGGAAAAAAGGCACATTCATTTTGAATAGGTAAAAATTTAAGCTTGTACAGTAGAACTTGGATATTTTTGCCTTGGGATGGTTCAAAGCTAATGATATGGCAAGTTGCTGAGTTAAGGACAAGTTTCTCTGCTTGTTGCTGTCTTTTAC